TTGACCATTTGTAATGCGTGACTATAGTTTTTGGTATTTGACAATTTATATTTCTTATTTATTGTTAGCACTTGATTTTTAAAGATTTGTGACACTGCACACTTTTCCCCAATATATAGAAAAGATTTTGATGATCTGTTTTTTCACTAGTGCAATCATACTTCGAGCACTAAACTTTAGTGCAAGAGAAAATATAACCAGTTAAAAGGCTGTTGGAATTGCACATTACCAACAGTTCCCCACAATCCACTCAAGAGCCTCTTTCGTGCATTGGAAGACCTTTAATCAATTTTACAATCTCGTCATGTTTTTTCTTCTTCACTGTGAGAAATTACCAATCCAATTCAAATAAGAAATTTAGTAAATGTATGAAACATATTTACCTTTAAGACGTCCATAATCAAAGTTACAATGGAAACCTTATGAATCACGCGCTAAACTCCATTATGGAAGCCACTATGACAATTAATGTCTAACGAGATAGCCACCATACACTATTGTATAGATAGTTTTTTAAAATATATTATTCACTGGAAGTATTATAGACTTATGAGAAATCTCAGACTAATTTTCAAAGAAAAATGTTGTTCATGAATGAACATTTTCGGATATTCAAATAAGGTTGAAAACAGGGTTATATATATACTCGCGTAAACACGTTAGATCTTTTTAAAACTACTGATTTAGTATAGTAGATTTTGATACTAATGATATGTGCGGGGCAAGAAAACTTTGTTAACATATATATGAAAGATTTAAAGTCAACCGTTCAATACAGAAACAAAAGATTATCATCGGAAAAATATTAAAGAAAGTCAATTACCACAACAAAAAAAATATATTAAAGATCATATATGGAACGTGGTTTCATTAAAAGTCCACGACGCAATATCTTAATTTTCAAGAGCACATGTATAGTCAGGAAATAATTAGTCTGTTCACACGTCGACTATAATTAAACCTATAAATACAATACAAATGACTGCAATCCTCTCCTGGAAATATAACACCATCGATTACACAACTTTGTAATCAAAGATTTCATTGTCCCAAAGATTTTTTCATAATTGCTAAGTTGTAATCATGCCTCTTTTTCATTCCTTGAATTCTAAGAAACCTCGATGTATTAGTTTTATTTCCTTTACACGGTTTAATACTCCACAATCATGGTTTTACTTTTGTATATCAATAATTGGTAAATGTTGATTATGTTTATGTACGTATTAGTTTCGTGGATATTCATTCTCATGATAATATTTTAAGTTTATAAAAAAGTAATTAATTTTTATTATAGTTGGTGTATATTTCAAATACTTTTTCCAACAATGTTTGTAAAAGTCATTCATATTAATGTGTTTAAAGTCAGCTGATGACACAATAACAACAAACCATAAGATTATACATATATAATAGATAATTTTAACATATAATCACAAGCACACATTACCTTTAAACTATCGACACTAATAAATAAAATGTAACTATTCGGTTTTATACCAAAAGCATAAAGTCTGATACCAAACATCATCAGTATATTTTATTTTCTTATAATTTGTGAATTTTAGTTTATATTATAAAAAGTCAAATTTAATTAAATATAAAAGCTATTTTAGTACTTTAGTTTTTAAATAGAAAGTTTTTCCAATTTTGTTTAACTATTAAGAAAACACTACGGTTTCTCAGGTCCGTCTTTAGATATGTGCCCAAAGAACATTTACACAGTTCCCATAATATTTTTGTAAATTTTAGTTAAGATTTAGGATCTTCTACAAAAAAATTTAGGGTCCATTTTTTTTAGATTACATGTATTACTTTTATAATTTGCACAGGCTCGATATATGATTGAGACGGGCCAAAGATATCTATATACATTGCGATTTCTAAAAAAATAACGTTCATATGGTTTATACACTATTACCAGAACTAATCCATTATTTCTATCGTTTAGATTATGATAAGTTTATTGGATTGAACACAAATCTCGTAAAAGACAGAACAAAATCTTTCTTAGGACTTTCTTCTAAAAGAAAGAAAACACGGACTACCACCAAAGCTAAAAGGATCGGTCACTTGATTAGGTCCCACTTTTATGAAAATGAAAATAGAGCACACATGACAAAGCATCCTGCGTTGAAAAGACAAAATCCCACTCCTCCCTCACATCTCTTAAACTTTACACTTTGTCAACTATATAGCATACATCAAAATATATAGATGAGCTCTTACTACCATATTGTCTTCCAAACCGTCCAGCAAAACTTTCTTTTGTTTTTTTTTTCAGATACATACACAAACATTAAAACGGGTATCTTTTGGCATTTCTTATTGATTAATAATTCTTTTGGCAGTTTATAAAAAAAGAAAAAGAACGTCTTATTATGCTAAAATTCTCTTCATCTTTCATGGCGTTAAAATTCTCTCAGATTCTCTTTGTAGTTCTTTGGCTCTCTCTCTTTGTCCTCCTCTTCCACCACATGAACTCCTTCAACCTCCACCGTATCTACTCTCTAAATGTGGAGGAGCCGTCAATGTCAAAGCACCATCACAACCATCTCTACACCATTAATAGATTAGTCAGCAGAAAAGCTCTCTCCCACACATTTGACTTCACACCTTTCCAACACCAAAACAACAACCACCATCATCATCGTTCACACGGCGGCGATGAGATCGATCCTCGTTATGGAGTGGAGAAACGCCGTGTTCCCTCCGGACCTAATCCGTTGCATCATTGATGGAATACGATGACACGTACTGCTTGGTTTGAGTGGTAACATATAAGCTAAAGATCAAATTTTACCTAGCTTGTTGTCTGCAAGGGGAAACTTAGATATTAGAGTTTTTGTTTTTGTTTTCTAAATACGTTCTTACAATTTGCGTATTGATATGCTTGATACATTTTTTTGTCTTATCACAGTAAACAAGGATATTTTAGCTTTTTTTTTTAACTTGCTTTTATCGGTAAATATGTTAATTTACTCAAGAAATTGACATCTTGATTAGATTGTGGAGGACGTAAAAGTTTTATTGTTTGGTTTGTTTTGTTAACTGTTATGTATATTGGTTATTAATTAAGAAAATAAATTGACACATATTGGTCGTTCTTTATAATGATGGATGTTTAAATAATTGCTTTGACTTTGGGATTAGCCAACCAGTAGATGCGACGGCACGTCACAACTCAGAGATATGTTACTATATACCAAATATAAACAATTGAATGGTAAAAGATTAAATAAACACACATGAAAAGAAAGTACTAATTTTGTTTCGCACGATCAAAATCTGGACAAGTTTTTTTTTCTTCCTTTAAATATAATTTCCGTTGTTTATTTGGCCGATTTATTTATGTAGATTGTCAATTTTTCATTTCTTTAAAATATGTATGCAGTAATAGTACAAAGAGTTTGTTTATAAGCTATTTGAAGAAACTTACTCGAATGTCTGAAGAAAAATATGTAGTTTTGTTAAGCCATCTCGTGAAGAGAGTAGGTTTAAACTTTAGAACGTAAAGATAATAAGACATTTCATTTGGTAAGACTTGCCGCGTATAAAATGTATTGCTGTCTTTTCGATAGAAATAAGGAAAATTTCATTTTACACAAAGCCTCACTTTAGGTTAACCCAAAAAACAAATCTCAGGATGTGCCGACTTTTTCCTATTTGGTTTCTTTCTACACCAAACTAATTTGTTCAAATTTAATATCTTTAATCTTTATTACATAAAGTGTAGTTGAAGAGGGACCAAGAATCCAGTGCAAATGGTAAAAGACTGACTTTAATATCTTGACTAAACAATATCGTCTTCTAGCAAATTAAAACGATCGATTTATTATGTTTTTTTCTCCCATTAATGTTGTTGCCCTTCACAGTAGTCTCTAGTATTGTGCCCATCATTTCTTGTCTGGGACCTATTTTCAAAGATTAGGTTTGTGTGGCGTTGTTAATTTGTTATCTATTTAATATGAATTTTATACAAAAATATAAAAATAAGAGTCAGTAACACGACTGATTGATTAATATAAGACCTTATTGACTTCCAAAAAATATCAATCCATATTAAAACTACATCTAAATGAATTTTCGAAAGGAATTTTGACATATATATATGGGCAATTTTCTCAAATATCTCTTCGTAAGTTTTGCCATAAAAATAACATTCAAAAAATAAAATGATCAAAATAATTTTTTTTTGTTTTGAAAATTATATAATTTATTTTTTATTTTTAAAAATTTCAAATTCGAAATCCAAAACTATACCCCTTAACTCTTAACTCTAAATTTAGATTAATTAACTTAATTAAAGGTATAAGTGCAAATTTACCCTTTAATAAAAAAATATTTTGGTCATATTTCTCTTTAAAAACTATATTTATGAAAATAAACTAAAAAGATCTCCTAAGAAAATTTCTCTATATTTATTTTTGGTTCGGTAAAATTAATCTGAGGAGGGGAGTCGTGACAACTGAAACAGAATCTAAAAGCCATACAAGCAAAGTTGGGCCAGCTAAGATAGACAAGAACATAAAAGCCCATATAAGCCCAATAAAAAATATCATGAAGTATCGTCGTTTTGCTCTAATGGAAGAGGCACCGAAAAGAGAGTTTTGAGTTTGGATCGTAGAAAGAAACGCTTCTCCAACACTTCACTAACTGCTTCCACGACGGCGCGTGAAACTACTCCGTTCCAATTGATGCATCTGGGTCTCTAGGGTTTTCGCCGAAAATGTTCACTCCCGAGAGAAAACACTTTCCGGCGACTGACCGGAAAGGAAAGTCCGTAGCTTTCGCCGACGAAACCCTAACCCCTTCTCCGGCGACGAGTCGATTCGGATTGGGTGATTGGAGGACGTTTAGAGAGGTGGGTTTGCTCGACGAAGCCTCCTTAGAAAGGAAGGACCTTGAAGCAGTTATCGAGAAGAATCTCAAGCTCGAAAAGGAGGTACCTTTATATAGAAAAAACTTACTAATTAAGGAAACTTTTTGTTAGTGATGAATCTCTTTGTTTCTGTTGTTGTTGTAGTTGTTTGATTACCAGCATAACATGGGGCTACTGCTTATTGAGAAGAAGAAGTGGGTTGCAAGAAACGAAGAGCTTCAGGAAGCGTTTGATGAAGTTAATGAGATTCTTAGACGTGAAAGGAGTTCAAGTTTGATAGCGTTGAGTGAATCTGAGAAGAGAGAAGAGAATCTTAGGAAGGCTTTGATCTCTGAGAAGCAGTTTGTAGCTGAGGCAATCTAATCTTTTGTGTTTTTATTGCTTTCTTTCTTTGTGTTTTGATGTTTATAAGATGTTTCTTGTTTTTTTTCGCAGCTTGAGAGGGATTTGAAGTACTTGCAACAAGAACATAGTGAGGTGAAGACTACTTCTGAGGTGAAGTTAGCTGAAGCTAATGCTTTGGTTATGGGTATTAAGGAGAAAGCTTTAGAGGTGGAGAGAGAGAGGGCAGTTGCTGAGGAGAAGCTTTCTGTGGTTAGTAGAAAGAGTTCTGAGTTGGAGAGGAAGCTTAAGGATGTGGAGACTCGTGAAAAAGTGCTCCAAAGGGAGCGTCTTTCTCTTGCTACAGAGTATGAATGATCGTTTTTTGCTTGTTTGTTGTGTTGCTATTTGTATCTCACGCTATCTATTTTGGTTATGTTTCATAGACGAGAAGCGCATGAGGCAGTGTTCTACAAGCAGAGAGAAGACCTTCAGGAATGGGAGAAGAAGCTAACGGTGGAAGAAGAAAGGTTGTCCGAAGTTAAAAGAAGCATTAGTTATACAGAGGAAAGAACTATTGAAAGTGAAAGAGCTATCAAGAAGAAAGAGAAGAGCCTCGAAGAGATGCAGCAAAAGATTGATACTGCTAAGTCAGAATTAAAAGAAAGAGAAGAATCTGTAAAGATGATGCTAAATGACATTTCTATAAAGGAAAAAGTGAGTTTTCTCGTTGCAATTATTTTTCGCTTCCTGCATTTGGTGTATTATATAAACTGGTGGTTGTTTCAGGACTTGGAGGCCATGAAGACTAAGGTTGATATGAAGGAGAAGGAGCTCCATGAGCTTGAGGAGAAGCTTATTGCAAGAGAGCAGGTCAACCTCTGAAACTTTCTTCTATTTTTTAACTTGACTGTAGCTTTCTTATAGTAACTAACTAACTACAATCAAATATTTTAAATTAATGTTGCAGACACCTACTCATCCACCCCTATTAGGCCAAAAAAATTTATTGTCTTTTTGTGAAATGATATCTTTCATAATCAACAAAAAACAGAGTTTGGATTGATAACTTAGAAAAAAAAAATTGTTGAGTTTTTTAGAGATGTTGAAATTTTTTTTGGTGTTTGAGTCACTTTTACAGGTTACACCGTTTTTAGATTTCTGTCTGCTAAGTGCCAAAATGTATAGTATAATCAATAGAGAAGTGACACGTTGATTAAATTTTTGAACAGATGGAAATAGGGAAGCTCCTTGATGATCAGAAGGGTGTTCTAGATTCCAGAATGCAGGAGTTTGAAATGGAGCTCGAACAGAAGAGAATATCCCTTGATAAAGAACTTGAGAAAAAGAAAAGTGAAATTGAGAAGCTGCAAGTTGAGATCAGCCACAAGGAAGATCAGTTAGGGAAGAGAGAGGCAGCTTTAAAAAAAATGGAAGAGAGAGTGAAGGAGAAAGAGAAGGATCTTGAAGCAACGTTGAAAGCTGTGAAGGACAAAGAAGAAGCTCTAAAGACCGAGGAGAAAAAGCTGCACGTGGAAAATGAACGCTTGCTCGAAGATAAAGAAAGTCTGCGTAAACTCAAAGAGGAGATTGAAGAGATCGGAGCCGAGACAACAAAACAGGAGTCAAGGCTTCGTGAAGAGTACGAAAGTCTCAGGATTACAGAAGAAGAGAGACTCGAGTTTATAAAGCAGCAATCTGAACTAAAGCAGCACATAGATAGAGTTAAACAAGAAGGGGAGACGCTCTTGAAGGAACGTGAAGAACTGAAACAAGATAAGGAAAGATTCGAGAAAGAGTGGGAAGCCTTGGATGAGAAGAAGGCTGATAGAACATATGAGAGGAGAAGCCAAGAAGGGCTTGATGAGCTGGAATACGAGAAGCTTGCTCTAAAGAAGGAAAGAGAAGAACTATCTGTAGAAAAGAAGCAGTTAAAGAAACTTCATGATGAGTTATATAAGGACGTAGCTGATGTAGATGCACTTAGAGTCTCATTGAAGGAGCAACGAGATGATTTGTGTCGCTCAAAGGAACGTTTCGCAGTGTTTCTGAAAAAAGTTAACCTCTGCAGTACCTGTAGAACACCATTCCACGAGTTTATTAACGCTGATCGAGTACCTGATGTTCCAGAATCTTCGCTGCCTGATGATTCTCTGGATACAATGGCAGGAAATGGTCATGAACCATCTGCTACTGAGCATAGTTTCTCTGAAAGTAAAGGTGCTGAGCAATCAGAGGTAAAGAGTGATAAACCTAGACGTGGTAGAGGTAGGAGTAATAAGTCTGTTAGGGGAAGATCGCAAGCAGCAACTAGTGATTCAAAACCATCTGATGTGAAAGTTGCAAAGAAGCGACAACGAGACCAGGGTTCTAGAATCACGGAAAGTGAACATGCAGATGGTGATAGTGATGAAGGTGTAGACAGCGTCACAACTGGTGGACGTAAGAAGAAAAGACAGACAGCTATTCCTGTCTCTCTGGCACCTGCGCAAAGCCGATATCATCTCAGGAGGCATAGAAAGTAAGCTCCTACTTCTTTTCTAATTGGAAACACCCTGGAAATTTAGTTCATATGAAACTTATATACGTATGGAAATATATCGTTTTCAGTGTAGGAACAGAAGATGAAAAAGCACAAACATCAACAGGTGCCATGGAAAAAGAAGAGAGTGTCAATGGTGATGATATCAGAACAGTGCCAAGTCCGAAGGATAATCTGAAGGAAAATGGAAAAGTTGAGACAGTAGTGGAGGCGGTAACACATGAGGAGATTGTTAAGGTATGCTTCTCTGAAACATCAAATAAGATCATCTCTATTGTTTTCCAGCATTTCTCTCTCTGTATGAAGGGGGAACATGTGGGCATGTTTGATCTTTCAATTTATTTCTTCTGAGAGAAATGGTTTTCTATTCAGGTTGAAGCAGAGACTGAGTTGAAGGATAAAAGTACTGGAAAGAGACCAGTGGAAGAAGATCCACAGTTAGAAGCAGGAGGCAGCGGTGAAATAAAAGAGGATGGTGGTGAGGAGGAGGATGGGACTTTCAGCAGGATTCAAGAGGAGAACGAAGAAGAAATAGAAGAAGAAGATACAGAAACAGAGCACCCAGGGGAGGCTTCCATAGGAAAGAAGATTTGGACCTTTTTCACAACCTAATCTCATTTTCTTCTCCCTTTCTCCCTCTAGAAGACAAAACTATCTCACAATTAGGATTTTTTTAAAGAGAGAAGAACATCGTGTTATGTGTTGTTGATTTTTGAACTTTAATTTCGTTTTCAAGCAACTGAAACAAAAGGAAGTGTGTACTCTTGGAAACTAAGGGCTTTTTGGTGGAAATGCAAGCATTTGATTCTAATATGCCATAGGTAACAGTGTTGGTGTTCGTGGAAAAACCAACTCTTTGATCTCAAGCACCTGAAGTCTCTCTCTTTTCAATTGCTTCACATCACCATACCATTACCTCAGATGAGATGTGGTTTGATCTCTCAAAGAACTTGGAGACCCCTTGAGATCAGATCAAACCAAGGAGGCATCTTCTCTCATGCCCCTATTTTTTTTAAGCTAATCTCTTATAGGCTCACAAAGATCTCTTATACTCCTATTTCATAATTCTTGTTTTTATCAAAATCCAAACCCCCAATTAAATCATTCCCGATGTTCAAAACTAAACAAAAACCCCCCCAATGGATTAGTGAACCCTTGGGCAAAGATTTAAATTCTATAGTGATCAAATTTTGAAAAAAAAATATTTTAAAATCGTTTTTAATCATATTTTGACGATTTTCGTGAAAATATCAAAATTTATTTTTTTGAATTTTGAAATATTTTTATAAAATTCTATAAATCAAATAAAAAATATTCACGTTTTCAGATTAATTTTATGATTTTTCCTTTGACATATAAGTGAGCTCCCTTCTTTCATCACTAATCTCACCAACCTTCACTCTTAAGTGGTGTTAGAACACCAGTCAACAGATCCATTACCAGTAAATATGTGACTGAAAAAAGAAGCCACTTGTCAAATTGTAAAATGTGGTTTATAGGAGGTGAGACAACCCTCACAACTAGTATTTAATTCCTCTTAATTTCTCAAAATACCTTCACACGCAAAAGATTTAGTTAGTAGGGTATATATACATTGTTTTTACGTGTTTCTGCATGAATTTTCTGTAAAACTAGATATATTCCATATATATATATATCATGAATATATATATATATATATGTGTGTGTGTGTTCAAAAGCGCGTATAATTAATTAATTTGTCACATTCGTTTAATAGAAGACAGTCTTTTTTCGTATCTTCGTTATCCTACTAACTGTTAATTATTAGTTCCAATCCTTCTAAGATAAGGTATACCTACGCACCCGCTTTCGTGTCTAAGTTGAATACACGTTAATTATTAGTTACAAGATTTAAGCTGCTCAGTATATTTTTTGCTATGTTTTTAGTTCTATTTCCAACTGTGCTGACTGCTGCATCTTATTTTCTAAGGATGATATCTCATCTTTTTTTTTTCATTTTACTTCAAAATATTTTGTGTTCATGAACACTCAAGTCAAGTATTGATATCATGATTCATGAGTTTACGAAAGCGAAAAGCTAAGCTTACTTATAACTCCAGTATTCCTACACAACTTATGAAGATTACTGTTGAAAGTTGAATATTATAACAACAAACAAACAAAACAACAGTGACGATATGTTCATTAAACCATTATATATTCTTGTCAACGAAGTTGTACGTAATAAAATATACAAAATCTTGAAAAACAACGGTCCGTTCAAACCAGATTCCCATTTCTTATGTATAAAATGGACTATTTTGATTCAAAACAATATATAAAATAAATTAAAGTCGACGGCACCGACTTAAAAACCTCAGAAAACACACACAAAAAAGAAGAAAATCTCAACCCTTGAAAATTTCGATATTAAATTAATAAAGGAAAATTCAAAGTCTCATTAGCGTATGGTACACTCCTCTCTTACCATTCCACTCTTTTCCCCACATTTTCGCCACACTTATTTCCCATCAAATACACACACATGTTTATATATATACATATACACTTACACGTTAATCAGTACTTAGAAAAGCTAGTTAAATTCAAGAAAACAAAAAAAGAAAGAGAGGAAAGCATTCATTACAAAATGGCTCCGTGTCGTACGATGGTTGTGCTCTGCCTGCTTCTGTTTCTGGCGGCGAGTAGTACCTCCGAAAGAATCGGAGCCACCGTGGATATGAAGAATAGGAAGAGCTTAGGGTTTAAACGCAGCTATATTTTTGGCTACTTACCAAAAGGAGTTCCTATTCCTCCTTCTGCTCCTTCTCAGAGACACAACTCTCTTGTTGACTCTCTTCATCATTGATTTCCTTTTTTTATTGTTCAATGTATTTTTTGTGTGCTTGTTTTGTAAATTAGATACATACATGGTTACATTCTTTGTATATACTTGCATACTTTAATTTTTTCCTATGTTTTCCAGACTATATTGTATTAAACTCATGATGGCCATATAAAGATCAAGGAATTCAATTAACTACGCTTGTGTAAGCCTTTGTTCTAATTTATATGCATCACCTATCAGCTGCTAAATCAAAACAAGTTAGTATCAATCTTGTCATGTACTTTAATTATGTCATATTAGTTAATTATTGAAGTTAACAATTATGAATCTTTAATTATAGACCGTACAAGTTGAAAAATATCTACAGACTGGAAAACAAATGATGGTTTAGTGACTTTAGTCTTTGAGAAGAGAAGTCAATCTACTAAAGTTTTCAAGATATACATAATAAAGTATTACATACCAAATACACTTTGTCTTGTAACATTTGTCTTTCTATTGAGAAGATATGCTTAATAAATGCACACCAATTATTACCACACCAGAGTCCAAAACTAACCAAGCATTGTCAAAGAGTTTGAACTATGAAGGGAAACCAGTCGTGGAATCAAAACATAGATAAATAAAATCCACAACACATAGAACAAACAATGTCAATATGTCATGCAATACAATATTTAGTAATGGAATCAAACATAGATAAATAAAATCCACAACACATAGAACAACCACGTCATGCAGTATAATCTTTTATAGTGGAATCAAACATAGATTAATAAAATCCGCAACACATAGAAGCTAGAACAAAAGCAATGCAATCTTTAGTAGTGGAATTTAAACATAAATAAATCAACAAACATGTTTGTGCAACACAATCCTTAGTATTGTAATTAATCAAACATAGTTAAATAAAATCAATTACACAGAAAAAAAAAAACATCTTATGCAATACAGTCTTTAATTCTCCTCTGCATAATTAGAAAATGTCCTTAAAAAGGAAAATAAGAGGGGGAATCAAACATAGATTAATAAAATCCTCAACACATAGAACACACATGTTATGCAATGCAATCTTTAGTAGTAGAATCAAAATATAGATAAATCAACAAACATGTTATGCAGTACACTCTTTATTATTGTAATCAAACATAGTTAAATAAAATCCATTACATAGAAAAACACACACAGTCTTTAATTCACCTCTAGATGATTAGAAAATATCCTTAAAAAAAGGAAAAATAAGAGGGGCAGTCCGAGAGAATCGAACTCGTGCCCTCTCGGATTACATCATCTAATCACAAAAACGGATTAAAACCGCTTTTAACCATTTTCTCAAGCGGCCAGAACAAAGGCGTCGGGAGATTACTAAACCAATCGTACCAACCCCACCCTTCACACTTCTCAGGCTCCAAATTCTCCGGATCCTGACCCGGATCCACAACCGTCGCGCGCAAGAAAACAGTTACGTAGTGAGAAGGCTTCGGAGCTTCCTTGAAAACGTTGTTTGTTACAGTCAAAAGCTTCATCTTCTCTATCAAAAGCCCCGTTTCCTCCATCACTTCTCTCGCTGCGCATTCTTCGAAGCTCTCTCCTGCTTAGAAACGGAAACAAAGATTGTTAGCTTGAGATTTTTTTTTTTTAAAGAAATGAGAGTTTAGAGAGGGAGAGATGGTGATGGACCAAATTCGAGGTGGCCGCCGGGGAGAGCGAAGGTGGAGTCTCCGATTGATGAACGGCGTTTTCCTAATAAGATTGAGTTTCCTTTGACGATGAAAACCACGACGGCGACTCTTGGCGTCGCTACTCCTCCTGTCTCCATTTTTGTTTGGTGGTCTCAGTGAAACGGTAGCGTTTTATTATTTATAGACTTATTTGGTTTAAACGGTGTCGTTTTGGTATCGGTTTAATGGGAGCAGATGTGTAGTTGTGATTGGCTATGTATCTCTCTGCTTTCTCTAGAGCCAATAACAAATACTCACTCTGTTCATAAAATATCAGTATTCTAGTTTTTCACACTTTTTAATAAAACACAATAAATTTACATAATTTTTTTATTTATCTTTTTTCCATAATTTTAAACCAATAAAAAATTAATTAGTACAATTAATTTTTTTGAAATTTACAAATAGTTAATGAAATATGTATTGAAAATGTAAAATAAGTATCTTTTAGAAATAAATTTTTTTTTCTAGAATATGTATCTTTAAAAAACGGAAGAATTTTTTTTCTATACTCTCTCATTTAAGAGTATAATAACGAATTCTTAATTTGTTTATAATAATGGAAATAAAGAAGAAAGAGCACAAAACTAAAAAAACATTTGAATTTATCAACGTGCTTTTTCGAAGATGTTTTTTTTTCTTCAAAATTTTCCTATATCATATCATTTTATATGTTCTATAGTACAGTACAAACTATTTAAATAAATTTAGCATAACTTTATTTTTTGAGAATTTTTTGCGTAAGATTGTGAGCTTGAATAATTTGTTCAAGAGAGTGATTCTACACAAATGTTAGAAATAAAAGAAGCCTGATCATGTTATTTCTTTTACTTCCCTAACAACATTTGGATTTTCCGAAAGACCCTATGGACTTTGTTTACAAGCATTGTAATGGTTTTGGTTACTAGCAAATAGCATATGGCTATATTTTTTAGTTTTGATGGCTGGTTTGGTATTAGGCTAATTAACCCATAATGTTATTTGGTATGCAGTATTTACTTTTATAAGAATAATAATGAAGTTACAAAGCTTATAAATTGAATGATTTACATAAGACGCTTGACCAATATGCAAACTAATATTTTCACTAATTTCAGACATATTTAATCAATTGCACTACACATCAATAGTGACTTTTCCTCAAGTGGGTTTTAAATATATTATGTTATAATTTTTTCAAATAATTATATTTAGTATTTAGAAAAGAAATGAGTCATTAAGAAAAGATAACTGGCTTAACAATCAGGTTTAATCATCAGACCCTAAAACTGAAGTATCATTACCCTAATATCTACATTCCTTTAGTTTATTTGATAGGCCCATATCTTGCCCGTATTCTGATTATTTAGAGTTTTACCAGGTAACTAAACTGTATCAAATCAACTAAGCATCACAAGGGGTTCGCAAAAGCCGAATACTCGGTATTTTTGGTATACTTTGTACTCGGCTTAGCTTGTACGAGTAGTAATTTTTTGATTTGTACTTAGGTTTGTTAAAAATGAGTACTTGCAGTTTTAAGTACTTGCAAAAAATTATTGAACTTGCATGTTACTTATTTTTTATTACTTGTTACTTGTAAATTACTTACAATTTAACTGATAATTATTGGTAAATTATTTGATGATTCATTAGAATTTAACAGTAAATTATTTGATGTTTCTTTTTTTTATTTTAGTCAACTCAAAAAATAGATTATATAAAAAATAATTTTTTTTAAGGGATGCTTATATAAATTTAAAACTTATGTTGATGCACTAACGAAAGTGAAAATATAAACGAGTTATTTTATTATGATATAGGAAAATGTATCTTAGTTCATTAACAAACAAAACAAAGTCAAGTAATTAATTTTATTTTATTATATGATATTTGTTTTATAATTATAAGTAATTTAAATAGATTACTTGATACTTAATTCGGTGAACAAATACTCATCTTTAAAGATCATGTACCTATGAAGTAACGAAGAGGAAGGTAGCAACAAATAATTTTGTACGGTCACTAATAAAATGTAATACATAAATTTAATTAATTAATAAAATGGATATATAACAAGACAAGTAGAGGATATCAAGTAACAAATCAAGTAAAAAGCCAAGTAGTTAAAAATAAAAATGAATTTGATACTTGACTTGTATTTGCGAATAATAAAATTCGCTTACTTGTTACTCGACTTGTTTTTAGTAAGTACTTGTTTTTTAAACCAAACCGAGTCAAGTAGCGAGTATAAGCCGAGTATCAAGCTTTAAGCCCAGCCCTAAGTATCACAAGATTCACAATGCATCTCCAACTACACTCTATATTTTACTGCATAATGGAATGAACAAATAAAAAAAATGTATTAGAGTAATAGGATTTTTGCTTTTCATCACTCTATCTTCTAGTAAATTATAAAATGGAGTTAAAAATACTTTTAAGACGAGAATTGGTTAAAATTAAAAGTATTTAAATACAGTAAGTGTAGTTAACATCGATCCAACACGCGGCACACATCCACAGCATTAACATATTGGCCGACGCTCTACCAACTAAGACCATCTCCAATGGAGTATCTATGAGAGTTCTATATATTGGTTCTAAATAATTATATGCTGAAAACTAAATAAAAAAGAAGAAAATTAGATAGATATGGTTCTAAAAATAGAAGTTTTGGAACCACTTCTAAATAATAGGTGTCACTTTCTCATAGGGTAGCATTCTAAAGGAAAAAAAGTTAAACCTAATTGTTCTTGAAATTTAGAACTTTTAATTGGTTCCACCAATGGAGAAGTTAAAACTAAACAAATATCTAAAAGTTTTAATTGGATTATTTTTAGTTAAAAAATTGATTTAAAACTCTAACACCATATCTATTGTTGGAGATGGTCTAAGCTATCCCTACATTGTTACACAAGATGCAAAATTGTGGTAACTACCAGAATCTATAATATAAACTTTTAAAAAGTAAAACATGCGGTGAGCGTGGATCGAACACGCGACCTTCAGATCTTCAGTCTGACGCTCTCCCAACTGAGCTATCCCCGCTTTCTTGTCTTTTAAGAAACGAGAACTTTCTTAAATGTAAAATCTAAAAAATATTTATTTGCTTGGAGCACGTTTGATTTGAGCTAGACGAAGAGCAAATCTACGAGTTTAAAATATTTAGGTTTCTGGTTCCACAAGATATATCAGGCTGGCCAGTTTATTACATTTTGACTCCTAGATATTAGCACTTGTGTCTTGGCGAAGACTTATTAGTGTTCGTCGACAACATCCTGCCTCAAGCATATTTTATTTTTCTTGCTTTTGATTTCTTTCTTTATGAACCTTGCTGCTATGTGTTCGATCCAGATTTTTTTTTGAATCACGATCCAAATTTATTATAGATTTCCAATTTAAAATCAATTAGTGATAAGTTGATTATCCTTAATCATTTATATATTATCTAAGGTCCCAATGAATTTCCGTTGTAAGATAATTTATTTATTAAATACTCTTTATCAAGATGATGGTTCTTATCGACTAATTTTTTTGGAACTTTAGGACATTTATACTCGGTCGAACGAGCCAAATATGACATACCTAGTCGGAAGGTTAAACACGACTTTTATACCCGGTCAGAAAAGTTAATTTATTAATTCGTGGATTAGTGTTTTTTAGATATAGCTCTGTTACCATGTTAGATTCATGTTTTATTATGTGTTTCCAACTTAAAACCACATCATCTTTAATGGACACGGTGTTGAAAACTTACAAATAAGAAGATGAATTCGTTTACATGTGCTATAGCAATGAGAAAACCTTTTGTTTGAATCCCAAGTAATGTTTTTATATATACACTTCATCATAAGGTGTTTTCACTACAGCAAGATGGCTTGTAAGCTTATGTTGACTGCTTGTTTTACCCTTAGACTTGGTTCATCTACAAACCTTAGCACCCACTTGAAACGAAGAGCAGGTACCCACCACTGTTGTGCCACCAGACTGGAGGAGCACACTGAAAGCAGCCCAAGTGTTAGCATCTAGGATATGTTTTGAGTATACATATTGATGTAGATAAGTATTTGGAATATTTCCAAATATCTTATTATTTATTTTATTAATTATTTAGATAATTATCATTAATTTTTTAGGGTTTTATGGTTTTATTATATATAGCCGTTCCGGCTTAAGAGTTGTATTGAGTTTTGATGATTAATAAAAGTTAAGAGATTTCTCTTTTGTTCTTTGTTTTCGGTAGATCATTGGTGATCTCAACGAATCTAAGAAGACATTGATCTTAGGTATTCTTAGACTAAATAAGATCCTTGTAGTTTATTATAGTTTTCCGGGTATTCTCAAAATCAACGGATCACTATTTCTATCCTAGAAGCTTCCGGGTATTTCGTGTTTTTCATTAGGTCTACTCAATACATATCAAACCGAAGAATGGAGTGTTTCTGGTGACACATCGGTCCAATGGAAACTAGCCATGACATCTTTTGAGGATTTTCATGCTGGAATCAGAGATCTGGACGTCTTCGTAAGAGAAGGAAGTCGAGAGTTTATGTCTTAGTATTGACGTAGCGCTGAAGAAGGTAGAAGAGAAGTTGAGGCATGCCAAGGCTGTTTCGGAGGCAAATGGGGTTTGCGAGGAATGCAATGGAGTCTGACAATTTGTTTATGTGGAAGTCTTTCTTTGATCAACCAACCAAGGATTGATGGGCACAGATGAGGCTGGGGATTCTCATTGACCTGTTTCACTCTCTGCTCTATAAATGAGTAGAAGCAAAACATTAGGCGGTTACTACTCCTAGAATTCTATTTGTCAGTTGTTTTATGTAATGTAACTTGGATCAGAATAATTGATAATAAATTTTCAAGTTTGATGATCAAAATGTAAATGTCTTAAAAATATCAGTTATCAGTATCAAAAACCAGTGATAAATAATAACAGTGAGCTAACACTAACTCACGAACACATTATATGAAAATGATACTTACTGCTCCAAATAATTGAATTCACTTTATCTTTTTCTCTCTTTTAGTCAAAATGCAGTTTTGTTTGTTGTGCAACCTCTACCTCTTCACAACAAGTTCATGCCATGAAAAATTATTAAGAAGCTTTAACTTGGGATATGCTGTTCATG